TGGAGGGATAAATGATAACTGATATATTATTTTAAGCTGGTTTGGTTTTTTCCTTGATAATATGGCTATTGAAAATCCAGTGTTTCAGATTGTTCCTTCCCATCCAACTTTCTAGCTGTCTTCGTAGAAGAAAATCCAATTCTCAGTGAAAACCATGCATTTTTCTCCTGAAAAATGCTCACAAAGTAAACAATTGTGTTTGCAAGCAGCTCCACAAATTTTGCATCCTACAATGAAAGTAGAGGGAAGCAGGACTGGATGGGTCCTGACCACTGGCCACAGAGGCCACTGGGTGCCCTGATGTGACCTGGCACTTCCAGGGAAGAACAATCCCACAGGGAGGACTCTGTGTCCCCAGAGAATGATCTATTTTGAAACTCTAAGCAATACCTCCAGTTCCTCATACTACTGGACTATAATCATCTTTTTATAGATAAATGAGCAAACTTTCTGAGCCAAGAGTAATCATTAAAGAAGAGCCTCTTAAGAAAAACCAAAGTCCACTGTCAAGGAAAGACAACAACCCCTAAGTTTAACAGGATTTCTGGAAGACATAGTTTTCACTGCATTTCTTTTGCTCCAGAAATTTACTTTTTTTCAATAAACTACTTAGCACTTCTTTTTCGCCTATCCAATCAAATGTGACTTAAATCCTCCGGTGCCTATTTCTATGAATTTTTCACAGCTTGATATTGAAAAGTATTGAAAAGATATAAGACAATAATTTAGCTATGTATTAGGATGCAGCAAAATAGTTGGGTATTTTTAGCAAAATATATTATTCACATAATTTATTCTACTATCTGCATTTTTAGAAGGAAAAAAAAAATCCTTCAATACTGCACAGGTATTTATTTACCTGACAGTTGCACTTTAAATGATTTCTAGTGGAAAGCAATATACTAAACAGAGAAATTTTCTGGCCTGGATGTTAGAAATCTTTTCCTTACAGAAACACATGTAATGTTTATTTTTTGTAATAATATTTAGAGGCTGTTGCTGTTTATGGATACTATGGAAAGTATACATATGTGAGGAAATCTTAATTTTGTAAGTTAAATCAAGTGTATTTTGTATGTATAGATTTAAGCATTTAGAGTAGCACCAACAAATGGATATCAAATTTACCTGTGAATTGATATTATGTTAAAGAATGACACATTTATAACCATGGACACATCTCAGACTCAAGTACTGGACTTCAGCATCAAAATAAGTGCAGAAGATGAAAAAAGAGTAAGTAATTTAGGAATTCAAAACTCACTTTTCCTCTTCTCAGTACTAGTGACCAGTCAGTCTTGGATCAAGGGTCAGGTCCTGGATCTGTTACACATGACAAATCTAGCAGATTAACTCAGCTGAAGCCAGAAAAAACGTTCATGAACTGATCACTGACCATCAGACTACATGATTCTAGTCTGGCTTCACACAGGGATGATTCTATCCTCTCAAACTGGCATTTACTCCAAACTGAAAGCTCTCACTGCAAGGAGAAAAAAAAGAAAAAAGGACAAGAAAAAAGGGCAACGTAGCTGTGGGGGTGAGAGCATTAGGCAGAGGTGTCTTCAGCTTCCTCCTAGGGAACTGCTTGTAAATATGCACCATGTACACATACAGCATCACTTTTCTGCATTTTAGGATAAATTATTTTAATAATATAAATATAAAAAAGTATATATAACTGCATTTTAGGATAAGGCAGGTGTGTCTCACAAGTGCTCAACTCTCAAGCCAGTAGAATGGAATAAAGGTTTGTCTTTTCCCTGCCAAACTGAAAGATGCAATGATATATATATATATATAGAGAGAGAGAGAGAGAGATAGATAGATAGATATATATATATCTATATATAGATATATTTCCCCTCAAAAGGCTTATGTTCCCCACAGACAGGGGCAAAAAGGGATAGCAGCTCATGGAAAGGAGCATTCCTTGCAAGTTTTCCTGCCTGACTGCAGCAAGTCAGGCTGCAGCTCATTAGTCACACCCTTAACTTTGCTATCCTCAAGTGCCTTTTTCACATGTTGAAATGGGGCCTGACATAGAACCTCAGATGCATAGAGCCTGGAGTGGAAAAGTGAAACACTCAACTTGGAATTTCTAGTCAGATTCTTGGTCAGATATTGAAAGAGGTATTGAACCTTCAAAAAGTGAAGGTTCTTCCTTGGGTTACCCTGGCTAAAAATTAGTTTCACAAGAGTTGGCATAAATAAATTTAAAATAATCTTATTATTTCAGGGAAATAAAAATACCAATTATTTCCACATAAAGAATAACATCATGACAGAAAAACAAGTGTTTCCTTATTATTTAAAAATATTTTTTCTACAGAAATTTTATATCTAAGTTATTTTATTTTTTTCTGTGTGAGATTTAGCCAAAATTATTTTTCTGAACAACCCCGTGACATGATCCTGAAAATGTGTCAGAAGACTATGGCATGATAAATACACAAATTGACATTCCTAGCTTGATTTTCAGTTTGTTATTCCATTATTTTTTTCCTACTTTATGTAAAATACTACAATTTTAAAAATCCCCACTTTTCTGCTGGAAAAAACATTTGTAATTTTAAAAAAATTTCTGCAGGCTTACATTTATGCCAATAGGAATTTTTACACTACACTTATTTTCCTAGAATGGATATTACAGGGATCTTCCACTTACAGTTTCTTTGGTAACATGACTAGGAGAGAAACCTTCTGACTCAGATGATTATTTTTTCATTTGCTTTATATTTTCATTTTTTATCCCAGGCTTTAGACACAGTTTCCCCAGTGCAGAACTCAATATTGAGTTCTCTGCCCACTCAACATTGTAAGACTGATGAGGTCTTATCTAAATAACACATGTTCAGCAGCTCAAATTTAAGAAGAAATACCCTCAAGTTTGAGGGTATTCACTTGATGTCCCTGTGCTCAGGCCAGATCAATCTATGATTTTCCTACAAACTGCATACAAACACCATTAAATTAGCATCCTGCCAGACTGGGTTGATGGTTGACCCTAGAAACTCCATGTTGTAAATGGCATAGCTCTTGCCTGAGACATTTATTAATAAGACCCTGTAGGCATAAAATAAAACATGCAGAAAATATCCACATCCACACTTATAAGGAGAGAAGAGCAAAAAGCGGGGGGGAAAGGTAAAAAATCCCACCCTCTCAAAAGAAGAGGAATGCTTGGCTGTTTTTTTAAGAGTGCAACACTCTAAGGCATTTGGTCTGTACAAAAGAGAAATATTAACTAGTGATGGTTGCATACTGGGAAGGAGTTGTGTGAAAACTCTCAGCTTGTAACCTGCACTGACTCTGATCCACACCATGGAACATGGTTCACTGCTGTCTCCTCTGGCCCCTCCATCTCACCACCCACAGGTCACAGGTTACACAGTGGTGTGCCATAGCAACTGCTACATCCATATCCTGGCTTTCACACATTTGGGGTCATAGGTCCCAAACCTGCACTTCATATTTTTAACTTACGTGGACTAAAAGCTTTTTCTCTGCATGCAGCAGTACCTTTAAAGAAGTACCTTTGGTTTGGATTTTCTGTTTGTTTTTTTCAGCTCACATTTGGCAATAAAAGGGGAATTTCAGCTTCCCCCTTCACACTCAGTCTCATCAAAATCAACTATAAAATTGCACAATCTCTACTGCACACATGGGCAGAAGAAGTCCATCTGAGCAACGGATGGGAACAGGCAAGACTTCAGGTCTGGACACATACTAAGTGGCTACTGACACAGCAAAACCACCTCTATTTACCAATGACTTAAGAGATATGGGGGTCCATCCCCCACCAAGACAAGGCTGAAGAAAAGAACTTCTTCTATTTAAAACTCTCCCAGGTTACGTAATTTCTTTTTTAAAATTTTCCTCACAATACACTCTCCACCCTTCCTTCAGGGTTGTGACTGCACACACTACCTCTCTGTACAAGTTCATCCTTCAGGATGACAAGTAATTTCCTGCTTCTTTGGGAAATGTATTGTTATGGCATTAATGGGGATAAAATGAATGTTCAATTATTTAAAACAAAAACACAAAAGGAAAACCTAGTAATTGAAGTTTAAAAATTATGCCAAAGACATAGTTAAGATAAATGTTGCTGTTCAGTCTGGTTTTCTATGATTCTGTAGTTCTGTAAGTCCAACCAAGTTTTATATGGATAAATAAAATAAGTAATCTCTCACATGAACCCATAGAAGCTATATTGTCTTTGGCATAAGTTAGTTAAAAATTAGTTTCTAACAGAAACTCACCCTCAGACAGTGCAGCACAAACCACACATCTGGAGGTCCACTGGGTTTCCAAACACACCAAGGCTGAACTACAGCAGCTGGGGAGGAGCGCCATAATTAGTTTTAACCATTAAACACTTCAGTTTCTTATGGCCACCGTAAGTTCCAGAGATTCTACCAAGGAGCACACTTAGCATCTCAAAGGACAGCTGCAAAGCCTATTGCTGGCATTCAGGATCAGTTTCTAACCATATGAGGAAACTGCTTCTCTGAAAATGAACTCACTAGTGGGACGACAGGTTTGTACACTGAGCTTCCCTTCCTTTCTCTCCCTTTTTTTTCTCTATTGCTCTCATTTCATTATTTAAAAATGCTGAGACGTTAGAAAAGACTTGGATCATGTCAATGTGCCAGGCTAATGTTTAACCTTAAACTTACACATTACAGATAAAAAGGGACTGTACTACAGATTTCACAGCTAACTCCCTTATTTCAACTTGCCTGGCAGAAGCACCCACAGTACTTGGGTCTACGTGTATTCCTCCTTAACTCATCCTTAGCTACCTTTTTTTTTTTAATTCCTTAGAACAGAACTGGATTAGAAAAAGTGTTCTGGCTGAACACTCTTCCAGTTTATTTTTTGTCATTGCTGAGCTACAGATAAGATTCAGCTTTGCTGTCAACAGAGTCAATCTGGTCAGAGCAGCAGACACAGTAAACCAGAACCTTCCATCAGAGAATTATACAATTGGTGCAATGCCAAACTTTGTAGCTCCAGAAGTCAAAAAATTTGTGACTTGGGACTATATTGTTTTTGCAGCACTATTTTTAGTCTCTGCCAGCATTGGAGTATTTTTTGCAGTTAAAGAGAGGAAAAAGAAAACTTCAAAGGAATTTTTGGTGGGTGGTAGGCAGATGACATGTGGACCCATAGCTTTTTCTCTTACATCAAGCTTCATGTCAGCAGTGACAGTCCTGGGGACACCCTCCGAAGTTTATCGCTATGGGGCATCCTTCGTGCTCTTCTTTCTTTCATATACACTTGTCATCATTTTTACTTCTGAACTTTTTCTACCTGTTTTTTATAGATCTGGCATCACAAGCACTTATGAGGTAAGTAAAAATCATAAAATAAAGGCACTATTTATCATATATTTTTTTAGAGAAAAATCTTTGACAGAAAGCTTTCTGCGGTGTTTTACAGAAGAAATATATTGATATATGAATTATTTTTAAAATAATTTGCATTATTTAAACTAGTTATTTATATTGCATAAGCTGAAATCCCAATCTAAGGGTCAGAGCTCCTTTTACGCACATATAGCACAGACAGGATATGGGTTCACACACAGCACCAAATTAAGCTACAGCTGGAAAATATTTAAGCGTATCCAAATGCTTCTGGTCTTTGAGTATTCTGCTCTGGTTTAGAGAGGCAGACTTTAAGAACAACATTCAATACTACCCAATTCAAACTTAGTCTAGATATGGTAATTTTGGCCAGTTACTATATTTAAGTAGCTGTGGTGGGAAGAAGAGAAAGAAGGTGGCAGGCTTGTTCAAAAAGGTAAAGAAGAAAAAAAAATAGTCAGGGCTGGAGAATGAATTAAAGCATTCTCTAGGAAAAGAAATTAATGACTTTTGAATTTTTGTAGAGTTTTTTGCCTGGCATTTTCTCTGGAACACATTTTTTCCTTTATAACACAGTTGAGTAGCAGCCCTTATAAACTGCACATCCACAGGACAGTTACTGACATTTGGGATGGCCTATTACCTCAGTCAGCTCCTGCAAGTTTGGTTGCTCCTCTCTGGGCAGTTTCAACTAGGCATGAATTGGATGACGAAGCTGGGTTCCTTCACAAGTAACCTTCTGGTAACAGAAAGGCTGCTTGAGCTCACTGAGCCCAAACCCAAGGAAGGAAATTTGGTCAAAAAGATCTGCCTGGGTATTTGGAAATACTTTCAGGTCAATGAAGAGCAAAATTGACCATTGCTGCAAGTAATTGCATTTTCTAGCTGGTTTTGATACAATGTCAGAGAATGAATTATTTTTGTCATGTGAAGCAGCAAAAGGGTTATTGTAAATGGAGATACCCTTCAAGCATGCTGCAAAGATGACTGTTGGCTTCACAAATTATTTTTAGAAATAGATCAAGTTACATAAATTAGCCATGTATTTATATGGCAGACTGTGGGGTTTATTACGCAAGAAACACAAGATCAGCATGAGAAAAATGAAAAAGAAAAAGATACTTTGTCAGTAGGAAGTGCACAGCTAAGAGACTTGTAAAAGAGAGAAAACTTGTACAGGCCATGCCTGGTGTCTGGGGGGCACATGGGACTGTGGCCCAAGAAGAGCCTCCCTGCATGGGGGCTGCCATGGGGCAGAGAGACTCTGCCAAGACCCCAGGTAGTGATTCAGCCTTAAAACCTGGGCTTTTGGGTCTAGAGATCCATTCACATCTGAAGTTCTTTTGAAGGTGGCAACACCTCTCCACATCCTTGAGCCTGGAAGTCCCTAAGATCCTCCTTCATGCCTCTCCATAGTGGTGATGTGCAGATTTGGCTTTAGGCTGAGACAAAACAAGGGAGAAAGCCAGCTCAGCTCCCGCACCAGGAAACTCCATGCTGCTGCTTCACCATCTGCTCCACCTCCACTTTTGGCACTACTGGAGTCGATGCTATTTCTGCTAGAGATGAGCTCGAGTTTCCTCGTTGTAGAGCTGGAATATATCTTCATTTGAAGTTAAAATTTCTTTGTAGTTCTTGGAATCTTCCAGTTATTCCTGGTGCAAAGAAGGCACTGATTACTGCAACCCAATATAGAACTTCACCTGGTAGAGATGAGGAGATAGATTTCTTAAATGTAATTATCATTCTGTCTAATGACAATCTTGCTCTTCTCATTAGCTGCTCACAGCAGCAGGGCCAGCTGCCAGGAGTACTTGCACAGTAAGGTGTCACTTGGGGCAAACAGAAGGGTAACAGCTGTGTCACAGATGCTACATGTGCACTTTACTGAGATCACGCTTTTTCCTAGTATTTGGAGTTAAGATTTAACAAGATTGTCCGCCTTGCTGCAACACTGATTTACATCCTCCAGACGGTAAGACAACATTGACTCTTTTTTTATACTAATTTCACTCAACATTGATTTTCACAGACTAGTCCCATACACCACATTTTTTATAATGAGATGTTTTAATGAGTACTCTTTTTTCTTAGTTTTTTCACTTGAACTATGAATGCTAAAAAGAAAGTAAGATTGTATTTTTAACTGTCTAACTGCCCTAACCTTTCCTGTTTAGTATTAAGAATGCCATTTTAGTCGTCTTTAACACTCTTTAGCAGTATTTAACACTCTTTAGCTGTCTTTAACACATGTTGGGCTGTATTCTCACAGCACATTCTTGGTCACATTACCTTCTCTGGAAGCCTCTCTCTTCCCAAACAAGTGGATTCTGTCTTTCTTGAGAAGCTGGTCAAGCTTCACTGGGTATGTTTAGTTACCCATTCATGACACTGAGGTGAAGTGTCCTGTTTGAAAACTGCTGTACAAGGTATCCTGGGCAGATGCCCTGCTAGTTGTGGTCCCATGATGGGCAATGCTCTGACCATCTTGAAAGATTACATTATTTGTGTATTTAATGGAAAGATAGGACTTGATGGGAGATTAGGAGACATTTTCATCTGTATTAATTCCATTTTAATTATTCCCAAACCTTTGGCAATAGATCTGAATGCTTAGTGACTTTGATGCTTTGTTTCTCCATCAGTTCTCTCAGATCTTACACTTAAAAGGTATTGAATCAGTTACTTTGAAAGGGATTGAATGGGAAAATGAAGATTTAATTTCTAAGATCAACGCAACTTTATTTCTGTATCACTATTTGTGTTATCTGGAGATATCCTTTTTCTATTTCATGAGGATATTTTGTCACATACTTGTCTTAGCAGTAGAGAAACAGGTAATATAAAGACAAATAAGGGTCCTCTCCTCAGAAAGGAACTAAACACAACATTTTAATTTTTAAGGGCTGGAACAGAAAGCCATAGTACAATACAAGCTGATCTAAAGAAACCGTAGATCTGGTATTTTGCTCTGAGCCCTACTCTAAATACAAGTTTTATCACTGAGCATTCAAATACATCATTTTTCTCCTTCAGATCCTTTACACAGGAATAGTGGTCTATGCTCCATCACTGGCACTCAACCAAGGTGAGTTCTTATGCTGCACTACACTGCTACCCCAAATAACCATACCAGAGGGACTGCTTGACTAAAAGAAGTAACAAAAATAGATAAAAACCCAACCCTGCTCAAAGGTGCTATAAGAAGGTTTTTGCCTTCACCTCGTAGTTCCACATTTCTGACTCCCCAGGTTCCTCTCACACCCAAACATTAGCAGGAGCCTCGTGGTTGCTCTTCTGCTCTCCTTCCCACTCAGTACCGCCTGAAGAGACCTGAAGCAAACAATTTCCCAACATCCTGACAAAGTCCACAGTACAAGCTGATGATCCAAGACCATACTATGCACTTTGATTACCCCCGTTCCTGTCTCTTGTGTTCAGGTTTCCATGGGAATAGCTCTTTTCCCTGCAGCCAGAGATGAATGCTGTTCTGCTGTCTGCACCTAGACTTCTTCAATTAATATTTGCAAACTAGGCATAAAGCATCCATCACCATAGGTGGGATTTGTAATTTTGCTGTCATAGGGCACAAGGAATCATCATGGCCCAAATCCTGATTTTACCAAAACTGACTGGGAAGAGACTGTGAGGCTTTTTTCTTTGTTCATTATCTGAGTTGCATTCAGACTGATCCCACTGCTCACACAGTGCCAAATTTTCTAATTTTCTTCCTTTGTCATGCAGCTGAATTCCATGTGAAAGTTCTCATTCATTATTACACCATACTAACTTTCCTAATAAGAGAACCTTTACAAATAGCTTTCAGTATCAGCCAAAACAAAATCTGTGCATTTTGTGTAAAGAAACTTTACGAAGCAAAATGAACACAAAAATTTGTTTTAATGAAGCTCATTTTAGCATTAAGTCATTCTTAAATGCAGGTAATGGAATTTCTTAGGGCTTGGGTTTTTTTCATCTTAGGATTTTTGGGAATCTCTGAAGAACTTGGTTTCTCAAGACAAAGTTCTGGACTAAGAACAGAAGTGAAGCATTGCTTATAAAGCTCTGTCCCGTCAGAATGACATTTTTGCTTTATGCAAGTATTCTTACTTTTGCTTGAAAGTTAGTTAATTTCAATTCAAAAGAAAACAACAATGAAAAACAGTACCCAGAAGTTCTACAAAACTTGAACAATCCAGCAAAGCTCCTAATAGACACGAAAGATTAAAGTTAGTAATTGCTCCTATCCTTCTAAAGCTAAAGGATTACAGCTCTTCTGCTACCTTCCAGATGGCTCACACCCATTTCACTAACAATTTTGTTTTCATTGGTTTCACAGTCACTGGATTTGATCTCTGGGGCTCTGTAGCTGCAACAGGAATTGTCTGCACTTTTTACTGCACTCTGGTATGTAACAGACATAACTGAATACTTGGAAGACAGACAGTTAATTCAACCATCCTTTAAACAGGACACACTATCAGAGAAGGATGGCTCCTGTGGAGAACACAGAGATAAATTTCTTCCACATTCTATGTTATAAGGAAGTCTATTTGGTGGAAAAAAAAAAATCCTCTCTAATTCTCTGTTGTATGTCTCCATGTTAAAACCAGACATCTTGAGACAGAGCCCAGATAAGGAGGCAATATGCTTCCCCTGTCTTCTTTTGAGAAGATGATTCTTATCTTTTACAAATTATAAGCCGAAAAATACTGCAATGAAAATTGTGCTCAAGAACAAAGCACTAAAACCTAGGAAGGATAATCAACAGGTCAGCTTTACTTTTAAGTGGAAGCAACGTGAGACTCCAAATTCCAAACCAGATATATTGTATAGATATTTGCAGCGAAGCAGCAGAGCCCTGTGGCTCAGGACACAAACTAATTGCCATTCTCATTGCCACTAAAGATTTTTTTCAATATACCACTCCACTCCTGTTGAGAACACTTATTATGTGCTCTAGCACTGATTTGATCAAATATGAAAGCTATGGGAGATGAATAGCAAATTTTCTGGAGATATTTTTCTGCGTTGGGCTTATTGTGGGCTCTGAGAACATATGGAGTCCTATGGGATGTAGGAACAGGCCAAAACTCCCTAAGTTCCACACCATCATATGTTCTTCAAATGCATGTAAAGGAGGCAGTAAAAAAGCTTTTAACTGAAAGTCAAATATTCTTCTGTGCCTGTGAACAAACTATTTAGGCTGTGAAATTTTCTGACCTGCAAAAATACACACTTTGTGGGAGAATACAGAGCCCTGATTTGCTGGGTGCTGCACATACAGCTCAGAAGCTGTCAAAATAAGGAGACTTGATACATTTTTTCAGTACTTGAGGAACAGGAAAGAAGATTGGGGGTGTACAGTTTCTCTTTGTTCTAGGGAGGATTAAAAGCTGTTGTCTGGACAGATGCATTTCAAATGGTTGTTATGGTGGCTGGCTTCGTGACGGTTCTGATTCGAGGCACTAGTCTGAACGGTGGAGCAACCAAAGTCTGGGAAGATGCCCATGAAGGATCTCGGCTAAACATATTTGAGTAAGAAAAAAATTATGCAAACCATTCCTCTCTGCATATTTATTGTTTAGAAACCATACCCTCAGTAAGCCAAAAATACACAGACTTGCTATTAAACAACCCTGGTAACTCAGAGAAGTCCATTCCTCATCTCTTCAGCTACTGGCAGTGCATTTGACCTTTAGGAAAGCTTTACTCTTTCAAGAAATCAAAGGTCTGCTGAACTGAAGGGGAGATTTGCCATTTTTCCATGTGTAGCTACAAATGCAGCCCAATTACTCCTTCCAATTTCATACACAGAATATTCTGAGTTGGAAGGGATCCACAAGGATCAACAAGTCCAGCTCTTAAGTAAATGGCCCATAAAGGGATCAAACATGAAACCTTGATGCCATTAGCACCATCTTCTAGTCAACTGAGCTAATCTCAGTGGCTAATTGTATATATCTTTCATTTTCTATTCATAACAGACACTATGTTTACTTGCACTCACCACAGCAGCAGGCAATAGTGCACCAGTGCACTGGGATAGAAATCTGATCCTCCTTTGGCTGTTTGGGGCATTTGTTGGTTAATCAAGGCAAGTCAGTGACAGAATCCAGCAGCAAGGTCAAATGTTATCTACTGTCCCAACCAAGATAAGGAAAACTGCAACGATTACACATTCAAGACAGAAAAATATGTTGTACAAGTTAGACTTGCAGAGTAGCAGAATTTTGTTAGATAACACAGCAGCTGAAGTAATTTCTTGTAAAGGAAGTTGTAATTATTATTATTAATTATAAAAAAATTAACTACAAATAAAATTATTAATAATTATTAAAAATTATTACTAAAACTGTGCTGGATTTTTTTAGACTTTGGTAAGCAACCTTGTTCCTTACAGAAGATGGGGTCCCAGACAGGACAGCTTGTAGGTGCTACAATATGACACAGGTCGGATGTCTGAGCATAAGCACCCTTATAAATTTGATTAATCTGAATTAAGTGATCCTCTGACTATGTCTGAATGATATTTGTTTATCCTGTCTTGAATACAATATGTTCCAATATAAAAGTAAAAAAACTTCCAAACCTGAACACATCGGATGCCGTCTGTTCTGGAAAACCCTATTACCAAATCAGAATTTTTTGATTCAGGGGGTAGGACATGCCAGATAGTTCTGAAAAATCACCTACCCCTTGCTGAAAAAAATATGTTTAAATAAAAAAAATTAATTGCTTCTTTCTTTCTTTCTTCTAGCTTTGATGTTGATCCTTTGAGACGACATACCTTCTGGACAATAGTTATTGGGGGAACATTTACCTGGCTAGGGCTGTATGGAGTCAATCAGTCCACAATACAGAGATGCATTTCCTGCAAATCAGAAAGGCATGCTAAACTGTAAGCTACCTGTCATTAACCTATTCCTGCAATCAATTAAGAATTACACTAAGTTTGTCAGCTATACTGAAAACATATATTTATATGATAAAGAAATATTGGGATGCCATTAGGTGGTAGTAAGTTAATTTTGCTCTGACAGTCTTACTACCTTTGGCTCAAAGTGACTTAAGTATATGCAGAGGAAAAAGAGAAATCTATCTCTTGCAGCTTATCAATTTATGATCAGGCTGACAAACTAATCCTCAGAAAGAGAGTATGGCAAAGATGGCAACACAGAAGTTGTGCTATCTACAACCTCATTACAAAAATGTATCTATTGGAACTGTGTTTGTTATACTGGATTAAAGATTGTTATTGATTTAGTGGAGTACTACAGTACAAGGTATTACCTAAATAAAAGTAAATCTTAATTTCTTAAAATTCTGCAGTGTCAGAATAATCAGAATCAATGAAGAACAAAGTGAATCTTCACAATATAGATAATACTGGTCTCCAGCTTGCTACCTGCCTCAACTTCAGCAGTAATATATTCATTACTAGACATATTTTACTAAACAATCAGATTTTTTTCACACACCTAGGGCCAATTGCTTGCAAATGCAGCTAAAAAATAAAGGTGATCATTTTTTCCTTTTTCAAACAGTTAGCTTTTTTGCTGACTGTAAACCCATTAATTTCTCTGAAGGTCATGACTGTCTATATGAATTCATCCTGTAGATAATTTGGTGTCTGAAAAGCATTTAGAAGTCACACTAGGGAGAACATCACCAGTAACAAGTTGGGTTAACCTCTGTTTCCTGGTAGCACACTCTGAACTGTGTGCAATAGATCTTGTGCAAGGTGTGTCCAAACATGATGTGAGCTCTGTAAATCCTGGCAGCTCTCAGAACCTGCAGGATTGCTGACCCACAGCCATACAACCTTCCCAGCAGAGGCTGTCACCCACATCCATTCATGGAACACCAAAAAGCCACCAGGACTGTTACTGTGCACAGTAACATTGGAAACGATATCCTGTGTGCTCTAAAGGGAGAGCAGCATCAGCATCTCCCAACAGGCAAACATCTGTTCTTACAAGGGACAGGCATTACAGACCCAGTCCTCAGTGCAGCCCATTCTACGTCGAGGTTACTTGACTCTCCCAGCTCTGTGGAGTTGCTTGGAAACTTTATCCTTGCCCTATGGCATAAAGCTGGTGTACTTTTCCTTTTTTTTCATCTTGCTTTGAATTATACAGCCAGTTTGAATTATATAACCAATAGGGATTAAAAGATCTCCCGAAAAAGTTCAGAATAAGTATCTTATAACAACTTTTTAAATTATCTTCCATTGAACAGTTTCCCTCTTTTGCTCTAGGGCACTTTACCTGAATTTATTGGGACTTTGGACAGTCCTAGTGTGTGCAGTATTTTGTGGATTGGTGATGTACTCTCATTACAAGAGTTGTGACCCTTGGACTGCTGCTTTCATTTCAGCTCCCGATCAGGTACAGATGTCCATTACAATAGTTAGGAGCTGCTTTGGGCTCAGATATAGCACATATCAGAACAGTTTAATTTTATGCAATGCTCTATGTCCTTTCAGCACTCAGGGACTAAGGTGGGTGCCAGATCAGGGCTATAACTATCTATTCTGGCACTCCTGCAGTATTATTCAATTGAGTATTTTTCCCAAAAGATATTCCCTTTGCTCAAAATCTGAAACCATGTTATTTGCGACAACATCAGAATTTAGCAACATGCTAATAAACATAAAATACTTTGTTTCCATTACCTTAATTAATTTCTTGTGTTGCTCTCGTGCTCCTTCTATCCCAGCTCATGCCATACTTTGTTATGGACATTTTTTCTTCAATGCCAGGAGTCCCAGGACTGTTTGTTGCCTGTGCATTCAGTGGAACACTAAGGTTTGTGAATCTGAATTGAAATTTTAGCTGTTGATGATAATTTCTTGAGGATCCAGAATGAGGTCAAAACATGAAACCCTAAGAAAAGCCCAGCAGTTTCTCTTAGATCATTCTAGGAAGTAGCACTAGTTCTTTGTTGAACTATGTTACATCCCTGGAGATATTTGAAAGACATTTGGAAGTGGCACTTAGGGGACTTGGTTTAGTGGTGGGCTTGACTCTGCTGGGTAAACAGTTGGACTCTGTGACCTTAGGGGTCTTGTCCAACCTAAATTATTCTATGATTATGTTTATCATAAAGTCTAACTCCACATCTCCAGTATCTTTTTATCCCAAATACATTTTAGAATAATGTTACCTAGAATAATGCTACCAATATAAAGAAAGTGTAGAAAAACTGAGTTTAACTTCCCAAAATACTCTCGGGAGCTGCTCATGGTGAAACTATCTTTACTTAAGGTATCTGCCACAATATCATAGTCAAAGGTATAAATATTTTCAGTAAGTCTATCTGAACTGTATTCACCAACAACAGGCTCACTCACCCAGCTAAAAGAGTTGGGCCATGCATGGAGGACCAGGGTGGCAGTAGTGGTGACTGCACATCCTTCAATTTGTGAGGGAGTAAGGTTTTAATTCTGGAACATGTCTATACTTAAGGTCTTTGCAAACTTGTAAAAGGAAGGGTCAGTTAGGATGTGTTCTTATCTTGTTCCATGCCAGCACGTAGCAGAGCCCCCAGCAATTGCAGAAGCAGCAGGAACCTCCCCAGTTAAAATAGCACATATGAAAAATACTATGAATCATACAGTTCTTGGGGAACAGTAGTGCTGAAAAAGAGGAAGCATTTCTATATAAATACAACTTGATTCCAGATTATATTGCTTCCTATTTACTTACCATTCTTCTCCCTTTCTACAGCACAGTAGCTGCCAGCATCAATGCTTTAGCAACTGTTACCTTTGAAGACTTGGTCAAGAAAGGTTTCCCTAACATCTCTGAGAAGATGAGCACGTGGATCAGCAAAGGCTTGTGTGGGTACTCCAGATGAGACCCCTTTCTTTAGCAGCAAAGGGCACTGAACAGAAAGACTCCCTCAGAAACAGGAATGTAACACTTTATAAACCCCCCAGGTGAACATCAGCCTGAGGCCTTGGTAGCATCATCAGCACCATATGGCAGAGGAACAAACAGAGACTAGCATGAACAACCCCCACTCAAAATCCTTGGAAAAGTTTGGTCTACTGAACGTATTGGAAAACACTCTTCATAACACAGAAAGAATGTTAATGTAGTTATTACCATATTACTCTATAGTAGTATTTATTTAGAGTAATACAGTAGATAATTTATATTCAGAGTATTGCATAAGCAGGTTATTCATCTTTTCAGAGAACAAAATAGGAAAACAAAAAAATAAAAAACCCCACGAAAAATCATCAACATATCAAGCATCCAACATTATTTTAATTTTTACAATATTTGTTACAATTATTGCAGTCAGATCATAACCCTTTTATGAATACCATAATAATACCATAAGAATTTTATGAAAATTCATTAATATAATGAAAGCACCAAACCCATCTATTTTCTCTCTCTCTAACTGCTTCTAGTCATCTCCCCTCTTGTTTTTCCACTTACTACTTAGTTTTTTCACTCTGGACCTAGAAAGATAATTTTTATGTCTGAAACCAGGTGTGCTAGCACAGAAGTTTTGGCTGGCTTTACTCAAGGCTGCTGTATACAGACTTTCACCTACCATAAAATTAAAACTGGTGTCAAGGGAAGAAAGCCATGCTGTTTTATCATTTCTCAACTCATTTATTAGATTTTTCAAAAGTGATACTTAAAGGCAACAGACACATTCCTATAGGAGGCATTACTTCTAAATTAATTTCATTGCTATTGTTCTACTTCGTAAGAAATATCAATCCACCAAAAACCCAACGAGACTTCATACAAGCCACTGCTGGGTGTGTATTGGTCTACTCTAAACACCCAATAAGAAGTGCCAATTCCTCTCTGCTGGCTGGTCACCTCAGACACTACTGAGCTGGAAGCCATCCCCACCATTAACCAGCACTGAGAGCCTCCCTACCTTACCTTTTCCAGGTGTACTGTACGGTGTCCTGTGCACTTCCATGGCTGCAGCAGCATCGCTGCTGGGAGGAGTCGTGCAGGTATTTCTTGCTTCAGAAATGCAATTAATAGAATAGGAATGAACACAAAATGTAATGAACTGAGCAAATAATGCTGCCAGCTCTGATGGCTACTAGATTACCCAAACCATTTCTGTGGACATTTTGCGGAGAGGAATAAAAGTAGGGAAAAAAAAAATCCCCTAACTCCTTCACTATTGACTCACTGCTAGGAAACAATACTGAGCACAATTCTCTCTTTAACTGTGCCCTGAAATTACTACCTCTCCCTTCTCCCTCACCATTTTCCCAGAGAAAATTACAGATCAAAATCAGAACTGGGCATGCTTCCCCTCAGCTGCTGGCCTGAACTCCTCTTTTTTCTCTTCACCCGCAGGCTTCCCTCTCCATCCACGGGATGTGTGGGGGGCCCATGCTGGGATTATTTACTCTGGGAATTGTGTTTCCCTGTGCTAACTGGAAGGTAAGTAAACAAAAATCCTGATCTAAAAGATCAAGTTGGTTTTTGGTTAAAACTCAATTTTGAAAATTGTTTAAGTCCTTGAGCAGCTTTTCAGATTTAGTGCCTGAGGATCTAAGATCTATTTATATGTGCCTTTTCCCTGCCTAAATTCATCCTGCTGAATTTAAGTCTACCCAGTTGTGGAATAACTGGTTATTAGATTCACAGATTCACACTGGTTATTAGATTCACATGAGTCCAATAACCAGCTTTCTAAATTTTTTTTAAGCTTTCTAAACCAGCTTTCTTATTTTTTTTTCCTGAGTTTCATTAAGAAGAAAAAATTATTCAATACTTGCCCCAGCTTTGGGATGCACAGAGGGATTTCAAAAGCTTTGCCTTCAATCTATCACTCAAAACAGAAAGATTGAGCTCATTCCATATTGCCCCATCAGGATTTCCATCAAGGCTAGCAGAGGTAAAAGTAAAATCTGTATCACAGCTTTAAGCACACTTCTGCTTTAGCTTTTACGAACAGAGAGCACTAAAACACCATGTTTTATAGCTTAGTTGAGAGAGAACAGAATTTATTTACACCATAACCCATCATTACCTACTCCTGGCTAATTCACGTTCACAGAAAAGCACTTTGCACATACCATCTTTAACAGTATCTTTCTGTACTTTCCAAGGGTGCTCTTGGAGGCCTCTTAGCTGGGATCAGCTTGGCTTTTTGGGCTGGTACTGGCTCTTTCATTTACCCTGCACCACCAACAAAGTCCATCCCTCTGCAGCTGTCTACCCTCAACTGCACCCTGGCTAACAGCACCGAGGCACTGCTAACAGCAGCTCCCACGCTGGCTCCAGAGAGGTATTTTTCCTATTGTTACCACTTGAGCCTATGCTTTGTCAAGTGTGCCCCCCAGCCTGCAGCTGGGGTGCAGGCAGTACTGTCAGGGCAGGCTGGAAGTGCAGACTGGTGCCAGATGTCACACCAGCTGCAGCTTGAGCTGCATTGTGCTGGCTCAGTCAGGCAACAACTTAAACAGAACTGATGCTCGTCACTAGCTGCTTTTGTCACCTCTTCACAGGCCTCTGCTGGCAGACACCTGGTACTCCCTGTCCTACCTGTACTTCAGTGCCATTGGCTGTGTGGGCTGTGCCATCACTGGGCTGTTGATAAGCTTTATAACAGGTTGGTGTTCTAAACATACATAGACATATATATATTCACACATATATATAAACAATCATACCTCTGCATAAGCTGACTCAGTTGTTAAAAAAGCTTTTAAAAAGTTTAGTAGGTGACTTGAGACACAGACTGAGGGCAGCAGGCTCTGATCCTGCTCCCCAACCTCATGGTCTGTGGTCTGAGGCTCCCAAGGCTCATAGCCAGCTATCCATGGACTCACTTATTACTATTTTCTTTTTGCAGGACCTAGTAAAGGAGAAGACATCCCACCAGTGTTAATTAAGCCAGTCTGCGACTTGTTTTGCTTTTGGTCCAAAAGACTCAAAATATTTCTCTGGTGTGGTGTGCAGCACGACAGCCTGGAGGTGAGTGCTGAGCCCATCAGGTCAGCCCTGCTGTGGCCCAGGAGCCACAGGAACACATGAGGGCATGTGCCCATGTGAGGGCATGGGCTGAACAGAGAAATAAGCAGCCTTCAACAGCTGCCCTTGAACTTCTGCAAGGGATGCTGCAGAAGCAGCACAGACTGGAAATGAAATCAGCCAAACCCTGGTCAGTAGCAAGTTACCTATTGTTCTCTGAGGTTTTTTTCCTATTGTTCCCATTTTCATCAAATATGGGGACTCAGGCCCTCAAAAAACACAGAGACCTCAGGAAAGCCAGGAACTGATGCCTTGGGAAGCTGACCTAGAGCAGAGGCTGGATAGAGCTAAAGAATAAAGCAGGGATTTATTCAAAGCATCTCCTCCATGGATCCACCTTGGGCAGCACCAGAGCCCAGCCAGGGCTGCACCCAAGATGAACCAAAATGGTCCCAAAATGCTCATGGGGTCCCTCACTTTTTTAAGTTCTGCTCCATTTGCATATTGGAGCTAATTGTCCAATTACAGCTTTAGCCCATGCAGTCCCATCCTGCTTGTTTTTCTCTCTTCAGTCCTTGTTGGTTGTGCTCTTGGGCCTGAGATTCGGATCATTTGTCCTTGGTCCCAAGGTAGAAAAAGAATTGCTTTGTCTAGCTGCTCTGTGAAGAGCGCTTACCAACACTTCATATGAAGCTCAGAACTACACACTAAAGCAGCACAGAATCTGGAAGATACAAAAGCTAAAACCCGAGGCATCAAAACAGGGCCTGACCTCCCTCTCCCTGCTGGGACAAAACTGCACCTTACACCCTACACAGTTCACCAAGCTATCACCTTCCACCAAGCTCAGAGGAAAGGAGTTGAGAACTGACATCCTCATGAAGCTCTCTTGCTGCTCTCATCCCCATCATCACAACCCCTGAGGCTTCTGCCCTCCAGAGCAGCACCAGGGAGCAACAACCAGGCAGTGCTGCACTCACCAACATCTGAGCTGCTCCTTCCCAACCTCCTCCTCCTCCACAGCACCAGGGCCAGCTATTCTCCAGGTGTCCCAAAGCTTTGTAGCTCATTAAAAAGGCATACAGAATGAATTTTTCCTTCTTGTGCTGTTTTCATAATTTTTCTTTAATCAAAGGAAAAAAAGCAGTGAATACAGGCTTCAAACTACAAGGGTATTTTCTTTCTTTTTCCAGATGGACTTTGAGAAAAAACTGCCTGAAGCTGCTGCAAATAAAACCAGAACAGATAACACCTTCAAGAACAATAACAACAAAGAAAATAACCACCAGATCCGTGGTTACAATTCTGAGGAAAATTCATATACAAATATAAGCAGAGAATCTCGCCTCTAGACGCTGAGGGACAATGGACATTTAATCAAACTTTAGTTCTTCAGCTTCAGAAATTAAAAACTTCTTTTACTGCACTTACCAGCTTGTAGGTGACCAAGAGGGAACAGCTGCTCTCTATAGCAATAAAGGCCAGATTTTTATTCACCAATCTCTTGGCAGACCTGGGAAATGATGGGACAATCAGGTTTTGGAAGCACTGCTATTTCAGAAGAAATGTTCCATGAATTTTGTTGTGGAACCTCCCACTCAGACACAGCCGCAATACATCTGCATCATCAAATGCTCTATTCAGCAACTCATCATTGGAGGGAGTGTGCAAAGGTGAACTTGAGATAAATTAAGACTTTGGAGAAGTTTGTGGGATATCTCACTAAGGTGAGTCAGTGAGCTGCCCTCTGATGGAGGGAAAGAAGAGAGGTCAGGCTGAGCCTACACCTAAGTACCACAAAGAGTCTCCTCACAGGAACCCTGTACAGACCAGACTGGTCTTTCAGTCACCAAGATAACTGTTTTGCTCCCTCTGGGGAATTCAAGTTTTCTTTATAGTTTCTCATTGTAAAAGATATAAAACAGAGTAACAAATTTTACTTCGAATTCAGGATAGTTCTTTACCTAAGTTAGTTTTCACCTCGAAAGGATCAACTTTTATGCAATAAAGAAAATAAACCAACATTTAATGATGATCATGCCTCCTAATTGATAATTCATGCTGAATTTTGAAAAAACAACACATAATCTGACAAAATAATCTGTCTGGTACACTGTCTTGGAAGCAGAGCACATTCAGTGCTCTATTCCAGTGAAACATATTTCTTTGAAAACTTGCTGGTTGAAAATAAAAGCCAACAGATCATCTCTCACCTTGACTAACTTCTGGATATAGTTTTCCAATAAATACATTTGTTTTAAAACAAAATTCACAATTGAGTGAAACAGACTGAATGAAAATATCAAAGACAACTCACGGACCCACCTGAGACATTCAGCTTGTATTTCTTTGAAGAGCCCCTCTGTTACTTTTGCTTTAGCAGTGACCATCTTTATGATGCAGATATATGTCAATCTGGTCCTTGAAGCTACTTCCCGTGTGTGGGTTCATGCTCTACCCCTGGAAGTGGTCCCAGGATTTTAATCAGGGAAAAGAAACAGCAGCCTGTAAATGATACTCCCTTGCTTGCCTGGAACAGTTTGTCAAGAAACTGAGAACCAAGTCAATATTTGTGTTAATCCTCAATATTTGTGTTAATCCCTTTTACAGTGGTCTTATAATCTCATTAAAGCTTACAGCTGAGTCTGGCTGCAAGGCAGCTGCTTGCTGTCTCATGTGGCACGCTTTCCCCTCCTGCTTCCACACTTGGGATTGCCAGCAAGGTGAAGAGGGAAACTCAGTAAATGCTACTGGACCATTTATATCTCATGGGCACACACCTTACATTTTCAAACAAACAAAACTAAATCATATCTTTTTCCATCAAAATAAACAAACACTTATACAAATATTTCACATTTCCAAAAACCATTATTACTACTTACCTTAACTATCAACTTATACAACTTCTTGTTTCTACAAAAACTGTTAACCCTCAAAAATTATAAACTTAACCTTACAACTATAACAAACAAATATTATCAAATACCCATCTTTTATGAAATTCAAAAGCATTAATGTATCTAATAATACTTTTTCAAATATAATTTTTACTTCTACACACAAAAAAACTTACCAACACTTTCTACAAACTTTTTCTTCATTAAATATACCCCCAAAAAAACCAAACAATAACCCCACATACACAAGTCAAAAATTAACCACATTTTTAATAAATTAAAATATTCACCACACTTTTAAAATTCCCAAATCGCCCACAAATGAAAAAATTATTTTAAGAACACACCACACTCTAAAACACATTTTAAAGGAACAACAAAAAATAAGCAAAACAACACCTCAAATAACATTAAACAAAACTTTATATATCTTTAATTTTTTTAAATAACCCATTCACAAAACCTAATCCTCCAATTTTAAAACACTTTTCAAATAACACAGAAATGAAATTTTTAAAAATCATCCAATTTTAATCAAAATCCCTAAAACAAAAATTAAAACACCATTTCCATAAATAACTTAAAATAAAAATTCTATTTCCACAAATACAAAACCCAAATAAATCCCTACAAAAAACATAAAACCATATCACACTCAAACTCACACCAACAATACCACAAGCAAAAAAACCCCACACAAACATAAACCACACATAAAAGCTACAATTAATATAAAACATTCCCTATTCAACCTACAAAAACTACAAATCTTAAATTTTATATTAATATTTAGACTACAAAAATTAATAATATCATAAAACTCTTTTAACAAAAAACATAATATCCATCATAATTTTAAAAATCCTAAAATATATAAATGTATAAAAATTAAGTATTAAAAAACCAACTTAATACTTATAATTAACCAATCCCTAAAGAAATACTAAAAAATTTACTCTCCACTTCCTGAGCCATTGATCCTTCCAGAGGCAGATCTAGCCTGTCCACCTTGGTTGAAAAACTGAGATTATGAAACTAGGCACAGATAAATCCTAGAAGAGATTAAATTTAAGAAATTGTTAGTCACTAGTAAAAGCAGTACAACATAAATGACTGAAAATTTGAAAACTCAGTCTAGCTGGGCCTTGAGGCCAAAATAATTGATTATTTAATTGTTATAAATTCCTAAGCCAAGTATGACCCTGAAATTACTTTCTTACAAGACTATGGTTTGAATGCTCATAAGCACTCACTTTTCAAGCATAAAATTACTTTTACTTATCTTTCACTATTTGGAATAATAAAGCTCACAGCCTTTTTCAAAGATATCCAAGTTTATTACTGAAAAAAAAAGTAATAATCAAATGTGCATGATACAGCAAGTAGTTGCATTTGTAAATGTAAACCTTGATAAAGTAAACAGCATCCCAAAGACAAATTTATGCCAAAAGTGTCTTACAATAGTTAATCAGATTTACAACTTTTTCCTCAGTGAATTCTTTTACTTCTGGGGTACATAGCTGCTTGTAAAAGCAATCTTAAAACACAAAATAAACTGAAAGCTGACATGCTGGAGGAACTTACAGCTTTTGCACAGAAAAGTAGATTTCTCCAAAAATGCTCTCCGATACTGTAAACTTGTTTCAAATATTACTTACAAAGTGTAGATTTATGAGTAGAAAAAATAGCTGAAATTTTGTTTTTACTGCTTACTTAGAAATCAAGTTGTATTTAAACATTACATAAATTTCAAATATATACACATTTTAAGAAATCTGTTACGATCATGATATTGCAAGTTAGCCAGGACTATCAGAGTAAAAAAAAATGACTGAACTATCTTATTCAGTTAGATTTTACATGAGATCATTTCAAAGAACTGAAATTTCAGTGATACTACTCTAGGTAAAAATTATAGCCAACAGTTTGGAAGATTTTCCAATACGAAACTCTAAGTCAATTAAATAGAACAAGAAAAGAAAATGTGATCTGGTTTTTTTTTATTATTATTAACAGAGAAATCATCGTGTTCTCAGTGGTTAAAATCTCTCCAGTTTTAGACTCCATTGGGTTTAATCCTAATTTCTCACCCTGTTGCATCTGAACAAGTAGCTCATGTCAGTAAGAATGCAAACTCCAGAGAACAGCCAGCAATACAGAGGTCGTATCAAGAAGACAGAATGAGCCAGCAGAACTCACAGAAGGTCATTTTGAGTGCAGTGCAGAGGGAATACACCATTACATTTCAAGACTACATCCCAGTCCTGGATTTAAAAAGTTCATGTATACCATGGAGTAGTGCAGCGATTTCCCTACTGTTCCTTGTTGTGCCATTAGAACTTTGTGCTGTTGTGGTAACATTGTGCTATTGTGGTTATGCCAAGCTTGTGACAATCCAGGTTTCTAGTAAATGTATTGGCAATGGCAAGATCAGATAAAAATTGTCAAAAGAAATCCATTGTAGAAATTTAAAAATCATACAACTGTGACAGTTTCCAAGGATTTACTGAACTCATCATGAGGTTTGCCTTGCTTCCAAATATCCAAAGAAGGGCATTTAGGATGTATGTGTAGAAAGAGACATAATGGGAAAAGACTGTGGTGCTTGGGGAAGTGACTAAAAGGACAGGAACAGCACAGGGAGGGGTGCCCCATACTTCCTCATACTGCTTCATCCCACCAAGGCAAACAGATTTGTAAAAAGCATCAAACAGACTGCTATTTGTGCACTTTCTGCTTTGGCATCTCTGTCAGGGACATCCAAAAACAGCCTGGAAAAAAAAAAATCTGCTTACAGAATAGCCCTGGAAATGGGACTGTCACCCAGAAGGCAGTGTGCAATAAAACACTGAGGATAAGCAAAGAATGAGCCAACAAAGAAAAAAGAAAAGATGAGGAGGCCTGTCCCCATGCTTCATCCTCAAACCCTTATTTTTCAGAGCCTGTTGCAATTCTGGAGCAAAACTTGCTGGGATGAACAGGAGCCCTTTGCTGCCTGGTGCTCATTGTCACCCTCCAATGCTGGCTCTGAATTTGACCTCAGAGAAATGTGTGTTTTGCAAGCGTGAGGTTAAGTATGAAAGGACTCTGGGAATTTTTGAAGCTGCTAGATTTTCTACTACAGGAATATGGGTTAGAAGTCACTAAAACACTTCCAAAAAGTGTCATTGTATGCATCTTAGTCAGACAAAGTATGCATTGGAAGCAAGTAACAGGTCTGCCTAGAAGGGGAATTCTATTTGAATTCTAAAATGTCTTAACATCAAATAATTATTACAAAATGCTGCCCTTATATTTGTTTCAAACTTTGCCCCCAAACAAGCAACATCAGCATTTTATGAGGATTCCAAAAAAATATAATGCATCTGGAAGTACTACTGCATTGTAAGTGATTACTGACACCACTATTTTCTTCTCTGTTCATTTTCTTAATAGAAACTAAATAGAAAATGTGGGGCTTTTTTATTTTCCATCAACTTCATCACATTCATAAGTAGCTGGTTGTATAAAATGAGCTTTATTGATAAGGCTATTACCCAGCATATATTAAAAAAAATCTAGTTTATAATAGTTTTAATGAAAATTGGTGACATTTACAGGCTAACTATGCTAATTTGCCTCCAAACAAATTGTTACATAATGCAAAAGTTTGCTAAGTCCCACAACGCCATGTAGGACTCGGCAGGTAACTCCAATGGACTCCATGGCTCCAGAAATTCTCTCTGGCATTACTCCCAGTTGGAGTCTGCAGTAGAGGAAGCCACAGCAAGGATGTGCATTACACATATGATTAGACTGATCATCTTAATGGCACATTAAGAATAAAACATCACCAAAACTCTTGCCTTTCCCCATATTAATACTTGCCCTGAAGCTACGTTCCCCAAGTTATTTTTCCTTCTGTAGAACTTTCTATGAAGGAAACTCCTGGAAATTTATTAGTTTTTCCATTAAGGTATTTATCTACTAACCTATATGTACCAGTTCGTCTAGACATTTTCCTTTTGAGCTTTCCACAGGACACAATTGAGCCTAACTGTGCCTCAGAACACAATTTATGACAAGTTGTTGTTGGAAAAGGCCACAGCTGATATGTATTTCATACTAGTGAATACATGTACTTCCAAAGAAGCATCTAACAAAAAAAAAAAGCTCACTTAATCACTATTGAAATTTTAGCCCTGTCACCATTTTCTCAAATCCTTGAATGAAAACAGTTAGGAAAAAACAGAATCATTAATGCTTCATTATGCTTTCATTAATCATGAAAACACCACCAAAATTATCAGGTCCAATCTTTGACCAAATATCACCATGACAAATAAATCACAACACTAAGCGCCATGTGCAGTCATTTCTTGAACACACCCAAGGATGATGACCCCACCACCTCCCAGGACAACCTGTTCCAATGCCTTCAATGAAAAAATTCTTCTTGATATCCAACCTGCACCTCACGGTGTTGCAGCCTGAGGTTATGTTCCCTTGTCTTGTCCCTAGCTGCCTGGTAGAAGAGGCTGACTCCCACCTTGCTGCAATCTCTTTCCAGCTAGTTGTGGAGAGTGATAAGACTCCTCTGAGCCTCCTCATCTAACTAAACAACCACAGCTCCTTCAACCAATCCTTCCTATGACTTGATCTCTCCAGATGCCTCAGCAGCTTCACTGCCCTTCTCTGGACATGCTCCAGCACCTCAGTGTCTGCCTGGAACCGAGGCCAGAACTGGACACAGGTCTCAATGCATGGCCTCACCAGCGCCAGGTGCAGGGGGACAATCAGTGCCCTGCTCCTGCTGGCCACCCTGTTTCTGACACAGGCCAGGATGCCATTGGCCTTTGTGCCCACCTGGCCCGTGCTCAGCTGCTCTTGGCCAGCACCCCCAGCTCCTTTGCCACTCTTCCCCCAGCCTGTAGCAACTGCAATGGGTTGTCGTGATCCAGGGACAAGACTTGGCCACACTGAGCACTCCACTGACCTGAGCCCATGGATCCAGCCTGTCCAGGTCCCTCTGCAGTCCCACCAGTCAACTTAGGATTGGCTGCAAACTCACTGAGGATGCCCTTGATCCCCTGTCCAGATCATTGATAAGGACATTAAACAGAACTGGCCCCAAGAGAAGTGGTTCCCCCGGGGAACCACACTCCTGACCAGCTGCCAGCTGGATAAACAGCTTTCACTGCCACCCTCTGGGCATGGCCATCCAGCTTTAACCCAGCTAAGAGTGCACCTGCTGCCACCTTCTCCAGGAGAATGCCATGAACTCATCATGAGGTTTGCCTTGTTTCCAAATATCCAGAGAAGGATGCTCAGTGTGCTGTGAGAGCTGAGTTCAACACTCAGGCAAGCCTTAGCACCCAGTTGTGAATACTCTTAATGCCTCCCTGATTGTAGAGACAAACTTAGGGGAATCTCTCATTAGGATGGGCAATAAAACAGAATTCTTATCTTCCTTTTTTTATTCATCAAAATTCAGATCTCACACATTAGGCACAAATTAAGAATAAAAAGTTGTAAGAAATGAGGTGCATCTCATGTATCTGGACTTTGTGCCATTTCTGAAATGGAATTTTTTTGTCTGAATCAAGATGCAGAATTTGGTTAAGAATAATTAACACATTTTGAACAAATACTTCATATATAAAAAATCTAGTTGCTCATGCAGTCTCTCTAAGGGCGCATGCATAGAGCAAACTTTTCATAGATTAGATCTGCAATGATCTAAAGCATTTTTGCACAAACTGAGGTTCTAAAGCTTTATCAAATTTCACAAATGCAGCCTGCATGCACAGTCTAGTCATACTAGTCATTTGTTTGAAAAGACAATATTTAAAATATTAAAAGATCATTCACCATTCAAAAAATACATTATTCCTGAGGACAGTGTGTGCCTTATTCTTTAGGAAAATAACGTGCAGTCAATGAAAACAGCATACTGAGCAAAGTCCAGCAAAAAGGTTTCTCAGCTTAAGCAAATGGCTAGACAGTGGCAAGATCTTTATGCACCGTTGATGTCCTCCAAAAGTAAAGGACACACAGAGTGTTTCTCCAAACTTCTTGTCCTTTCCCAGTGCATAAAATGCACCATGTCAAATCCACATACTTGCCTTTCATATGCTCTTACATCCCAGTGTTGAAAAAAAAATCATAATACCTATAAATGTAAATCTCAAATACAAAAAGATTGTTTAATGTGGTTTTTGAAGTCCAATTGGAATTTGCCTAGGTATGTATTGACATATGCCAATATCAATAGCAAAAGCAAAAAATATAAAATAATGTTTCTGATTTTTGCCTGATTTTACCCTGTATCTTTATAACTTGGGCCAGCCAAGACATTTTGTTTTTAGAGAAAATATTACATAAGCTCATTTGTGGCCTTCTGAAGCATTCAAATATTATCACAAGGTGTCACACAAATAAAAACTGTGACACATGGTTACTGCTGTCAAACAGCGCTTGACAGTCCACAGAATGAGATAGAGAGGCAATAAATTAAATCAAACCTTGTGACTGTATTAGCACTGAAGAGAGTGCAGTAATTTTTTTTCTGATAATAACTCCTGAGGAATTTAATGCACAACCCAGAAGATGAAGGAACAAAACAGCCTTTCCAAAATATGGCAAGCTGAGTTCCATCTGCCCTTTATCACAGAATGAATGGGTAATGTACCTGATTGGGCCAGATCTTCAAATTTCTTTCCTCCTTTCATGCAGTACTATAGATACTCCTACAAGTGCCTTGTCTGGTAACAGAGCTGAAATTAATTAAGAAAGCTCATGAATGTGGTGAAACAACTGAAGAACTTAAAAGTATGATGTTAGGCTCTCTGGATACAACAGATCCTATTTACCTACTTTGATGGGCTCTTGACTCTTGAAATTAATTTCAGTGAAATAAAATAAAATTATTGTGCTAATAAATGCAAGTGAATACTCAAATCAAACTTTTTAATTACACAGGATTAATGTAAATGGAAAAAATTCAGGTCTTTTCATATCCGTCAGCATTGATTTTGCTGCAGCTTTATCCCTAAAAATAAGGTCAAAATTTCTAGACTTCGTAGCTATTGTGCTTTGCTGACTCTTTGTTTTTTACATTTTTCTCATCCAATACAGAAAAGCATTATTAAAACTGTACGAGAGAAACAGAACAACTGTAACTCTATCCATTCCCTTCCCTTCAATGTATCCCTTAAATTTGTTTAAACTTTAAGTGTTTTTCCTGTATTATGAAATGCTAGTAACAGACAATTTCATCACCAAAATGTGACTATTAACCACAAGCAACACTGCAGTATGCTGTTTGCACATAAAAACTGAAATTTGATTCTTCAAATGAACATCTACGTTTTTAGTGATTTTATCAAAAAAATCCACCCCAAGTGTAAGAAGGCATACTAATAATAATAATAGTAGTAAATACTGTGTGTGTATGCATTTATATACAATCTGTATACATATTTGCCTGTGTCCAGCTCCAATGTTATGATATATTTAGGCCAATAAAAGAAGTGTACATTACTGCAACATTTACTATTACAATAAGAAAAACCTTGTTACAAATTGCTCTTCTTCCCTGAACAAGCAAGCCACAATGCTATACTGTATGTCTCATATATATTGGCAGAAGCTTGCATACTATAAAGATATAATTGTATTTGAAGAGAAAGTCAATTACACTGCATGGGAGCATTTCAAGTTCACACTCTGTGAAGTCATGAAATCATTGCCCAGGCAGAGCAAGAGGAACAGTAACACAGTTAGCATGAAAATGACAGTTCTTTCATGCTGGAAGCATGTGGAGATGGCCTTTCACACACAAAAGTGCAAGGACAACTCAACAGCTGTGTAATTTTCAAACAGAAAATTACCCTCTCCTGGTGCTGCTGTTTTCTTTCTGAATTTGGACTTTTTGGTTTTCAACTAGATGATAAATTAATGACACTAATGTGCAAATCTTAAACTGCATAGTATATATTTAGCAGCCACAGACCCCTTTTTTAGGGTAGGACCACATCCACAATCTCAACAAGAGACTAGGACAAACCTGACAAAACAGTAAGCCTGAAAGATCAAGTCATGGCCACAAAGGCAACAACTGCTCTTTTCTTTAGAGGCATTACAGATGGAGCTGAGCAATCAGAAGCTGTAGAAGTAGTGGATATCACGTAAGTTGGTTTTAGTCATGCCCTTACTCTACAGGTAATTTTCTGTTTTCATCATGCTGAGAGTATCTTCATAAACAGCATGAAAATCCATTGCCTTTTTTAAAACAGCATCCAGATTTTTACTCTGTCTGCACATCTCTGAATGCCAATTGTCACTGGAGCTCATCACAGACCAGTTACAGGTAAGGCTTTTCGTTGACATCACTGGGAACATCCATTTCTCAATGCCCACCAAAGTATGCAATTGCGCTGCCTAGCAAGAACATAAATATACCACCACCAAATCTCACACTGATGCCAGACTGACTTCAGTTTGTAACTTCACTCTCCAATTCCAAAGTGGTTTTGTTGTAGCATGGTAATGACTAAGGCCATTCATGGTGATACTGTTTCCCATTCTTTTTCCTTTCTCTTTGCAAATGTTCCAGTTCAGCCTCATACATCATTTCCTGGACTAAGTATTTCTCTCTTCTCATTCTGTCACACAAGTCTTTGGGTATGTCTGGAATTAGATAGGCGATGAAAGACTTTATTCCAAAAACAAGGTGCTGAAAAGAAAAAAAAAATAATTGATTAACATATCAATATGTATTCCTTTATAGGACAATTTAGAGCCCAAAAGTCTGTGGCAAAACTGGACACCAAAGATTCAATTTGTGACTGAAAGGCAACTCCTTTGGGTTTTTTTTAATAAAAACACTCCTATGGGAGTAAATGAGTGATCTAAAAGAAATGGGAAAATGCTGAAGTTTTCTAAGAAGGAAAAAAAGTGTAGAGTTAGTGACTTAAATGAAGATGTGACTACAGGATATGCTAGTTTGATCAACAAATGCCAATGCTACATACAAGCAGTCTTTGTTCAGGGCTTATCATGGAAATAGGTTATCAGAGTCCTAGGGGAGTATGCAATAGATACTTCAAACTTAGTATATATGTTTCAACTTCTATATTAACCTGGAATCATGTATCATTTTCCTGACACACATTCTATCTTGTAGTAACTGTGCCTAATACACACAAAACTTGCACTTCTTTTTTCAATAAAATACAAATGATTGGGCAGGGAACCAACATGATGTATAAGATTACTTTTAAGGAAATATGATTTTATAGGCATTCTACAGCAAGTGCATGCTCTGTCAATTCTGTTTGAAGTGGCTGATAGTCAACAGTTTGAGGAAGAATTTTTTTTTTCCTCAGTCTTGACTGTACTGAACAAACAATTGATTAAAATGACAATTTTGCTTATGGGACAACTATAAAGAATCAACTCAGACCTATAAAAGGTAGAAAGGGCTTGCTCCCTTTCACAACTAACCTCAAATACTATGATGAAGGCCAGCCGTGCTGCCAGGACATGCCAAAACTGCAAAGTGAATTCATACGGAGTCGAGCTCCATGGTGGGGCTCTGTAGTCTCTGTACCTGCAGAGCAAAGAGAAACCCAGTGAGTTAAACCCAGTGTGCTCTCTTGAGCAATTAAAACTTTTGACATGGTCAAGGGCTCTCTGGTTCATCCCAGATCTGGCTAAAAGGAGAGAAACTGAAGTGAAAGCAGACTTCAAGAGGAGTTAAACTGAAAAGGAGATCTGTCCAGAATACAGGCTGTTAAATAAAGCTGTTTATGAGACAGTACTTCTTGCTTCCAAAAATCCAGAGCAAACGGTTTCTTTTATTGTTACAAAGCTGGAGTGTTAAGTGTGTTGATTCTAAATTGGTTCTTATCTTTGCTTATAAGCACTTGAGAGTCTCCAGACAAAGTTTGCACAAATGAAATATGATTCTAATTTAAACTAATGCTTACTGCAAACCTAAGACAGAAAACAGGAGTGCGCTCATGTCCTATTTCATTTTTATGCTGTATTTTTTATATTCATCTTGCATAATTGTTTGCAAGAATTGTAATCTCCATCTGGGTTAGAGAGGTAACAAAAATTTTAATTGTGTACTTTAATTTATTGACTTCAGAATGCTTAACAAAATTGAAATGTGGATTTTTACCATTCTTGGCAGCTGCTAAACTTTTAAATTAAATAATTCATAGAGACATGAAAGATAATGGCTTGCAAGAGTCAATGTATCCTACCACACAGTATTTGTACCCAAGGACTCCATGTTGAACAAACATGAACTCCAATGCTTTTAAGGGCAAAAAAGAAATGCCAGCAATTTCAGCACTTTTAATTTACTGTCTGCAATAATGTCCATGCATGTATTACAGTAAATGGGAGCAAGGAAACATACCGACAGTATCCTGAATATCCCATCCCAAGTTCACTCAAATCAAATACTGACAAGCTGCTGTTGACATATCCTTTTAAGCATCTGAAAGAAAAAGCCATATGGGCAGCATTTTCTTCATAAAGTGTTTATACAATAAACATGTGTATGTAAACATATTCTGCTATCAGATACTGTGAGCATAATACTTTATTGACTTATCAGGACAAAAGCAATTCTGAAATTCATGCAGAGAAGCAAAGTTTACTGGAAAAAAAAAAGACTAACAACTGTTTCAGCTATAGCACTGTTTAGAAGTCTATTTTCAGCACTTCTCATGCTTTTGCTTCTTACCTGCTGGGAGATATAAACCAAAAATTGTTGCTACATTCTTTTTAACTGTCCTCTAAAATTACTGATCTTTGAAAGATGGATAGAAAGGCAGAGAGCAGTATAATTTAACACCCTTGCAGAATTGGCCACCAATAATGCAGCATATACAAAAAATAACAGGTTTTATGTGTTTTCATCAACAGTAACATGAACAGCGTATATATACCAAACAGTTATATTAAAGGCAAAAATATATTACTATTAATTACAGAAATTATATAAATAAATTGATTTATGATTGTAGGAGTGAATTTTTGCTGTTGCTTGAAAACCACAGACATGAAAGATATCCTATCTTCTTTTTCTCGATATCCTATCATCTGTCTTGTAACTTAATTAAAGCACATTTGAAAGTCAAAGAAGATATAAGAAGAGATGCATGAGGAATCTTTTTATAATCCTGGATCTTCAGGTTTGCTATAATACCTCAAACCACTACTGACAAAAGAAGAAATAGAATTACATAGTTCTCTCTTAAATGGGTAGAGTGCATCAAGCACTAACATTTTTCTGATACTGTCTCTTTTCATCCTATCCCACCTCACTATTTTTGCCCTTAAACTTTCTTTTCCTGTGACAGCTCAGGAAGAGTAAATCACTATTTTGGGAGCATATATGTGTATTTGGGAATGCACTGGGAGAAGACAGCATAGACCTACTGCAGAGAGGAGGAAAAGCTTATTTAGAAAAGATCTGAGAACTGATGCAATGTACAGACTTTTTTGTTTGCATTCAGAAGGGAAGAGATGATTTTCCACTTCTATAAAGAGCTACTTTGCAAACTCTTTGGAACAGCTGACTTACTCGCTCTTCACATCTGGGAAGGTTTGCACAGAATATCAAGAAATGTATCTGATATATGTTATCATAGAAATACAGCAGTAAATTGTGCTTCCACTCAAAAATACATGTATATATAAAGAATAGCCTAATTACTTTTCTTGTCTGTACCCTTGATCTGTACAGGGACCATATTTGTATGCATAGACAAAACGTGGAATGTAATCAGAAGTAATGGCAATAACGAAGGCATTGGTGATGACAGCCAGAACTCCAATTCCTTCCAGAATTCCATACCAAATACCTAGAAACAAGAGAAATTTCAACAAAGTAGTCAGTTCTTTATAGTCATATTAAGTCATATAAAGTCATACCAGTGATAATAAAATCATTAATAGTCATACAATTTTCCTTTCTTGTTAAGAATGAGTTATGAGACAGAAAAACTAATCAGATGAAGCCATGTCCCCACATTGCAACCACCACCAATGCCACCCAAATGAAATCTTACAACAGTGCACACCCTGCTGAAAAGATACAGCCAAGGAACAAAGACATAATGGTAATTTTTTGTTATGAAGGCCAAATAGGAGGTTCTAGAAAGAGATTTCTTATTTAATTAAATTTTAAATTAAAATTTAATTCAGTCCTTTTATTTAACTTCAAAATTCAATTTATTTTAGACCTAGAGTTCCACAAATCGGAAGCCTGAAATGCTTTTAGCCTGTTCCCAATATTCAAATTATAATGATTCCTTATTGTAAATGGGAAACAAACTTGAGGAATCCTCTTTGCAAATCAACCAACTATCCTTTCATTGCCAAAAAGGAAAGCTGTCACTGAAATCTGTTGGTTATGTTACCATCCTGACACATGAAATTCTTCAGGGGTGGAGCTGTTCTCAAGAGGAAAACCCAAAGAGATGGTAGCTGGCAGTGGCAGCCACTGGCTTCTCTCACCTATATCTGTGGCTCTTGCAGGCATGGGTCTTCGCCACTGAGTGACAAACTTGTATGCATCTAACCTGATTTCTATGATGTTGTTGAGCAGTGCCAGGAGAGGTGCCAGGGGGAAGGCAGCCACAAAGATGGTGGTAAAGCCAAACTGTAAAACTAGACAGGCATTTCTGTGGTTACAAATTGGAAATTCAAAAAGTCTTTTAACGTGCAACATAGTTCTACCTTCTGAAGAAAACCAACACCTCCCAGATTTGCTCACCCATCTCTAAATATTCGTCCATTAAACCATGGAGATTCATAGGTTGCAGATTCCAATCTTTTTCCCATTGAGGTAGAGAAATTTTATTCTCCATTGATTGCCCTCTTCTCTTCATTTTGCGTCGTGACCACCAATTCTGTAATAAACTTTATGAGATAAAGAGAGCAATAATGACTGTATCTGCTCACAGATTTAAAATACGTTCTGGTACTGTTCTGAAATAGGCAGGCCTGTTTTAAACAGCATCTGGATGATTACTTAAATGTTTTATGGAAAATTTTACAATATCTTCTTAGATCCAATGCAAAGAACTTATAAAAGATCTCATCATTCTGCATTATAATTTTAATTGCCTTTAATGTAGCATATTTGACATTGTAAAAATAAGCTTTTCAGAATATGGAATATGCTTACATGGACTTTTTTCATTTTGGTAGGATTTAACTGAATGACTAAATAAAAAAAAATTTAAAAATCATGCATAGCAAGAACACTAAAAAATAAATAATGCTTTATTTCAATCCTGTAAAAGACAAACCAGGTCAGTGGAATTCAGTAAGAATACCATGGTAAAACACACTGAAGAGTAGAATACATATATTTTGGAACAAACCTAAAGGTCTAGATATTCTACAGAATATTTCTTAAAGTAGGAAAAAGCATTTAAAAAGGTGTTGCTGTATGTGGAAATATTTAAGACTATTCTTCATAAAGCTGTGCAAAATCTTTTCACAGAGTAGTCATAAATATTAAGGAGATAGTAGGCTCATGAATTAAAATGTTACTTAAATGAAAAATATTATCTAGTACTGACACATGGACCAAATAAAGACTACTATTTGTTTCTAGATAATATGGAAGAGAGACTAAGGATGGGAAATATCTTTCTTGTAAGTATTTTTATAAAAAGGCTGCTCTTTTTTCTCTCAAGCTAATTTCGTGTTTGGCTCTTGATCTCTCTTGTTACTGAAAGAGAAGCTTTTGTTTGTTTGAAAGATAAACTGTTGCCTATGTTACAAACAATGGTTTTGTCAAAACAAAACATTTATTTCTGTAACAGAATATAAGCATGTTCTAAAATAAATTTTAAACAAGGTTAACATCCTGCTTGGCTGAGAAGACAGGAAGCCTGGCAGTTAAAGTAGGTTTCTCAATTCTCAATTTCAAAAATCCTCATTCCACAACATACAGTACACTGTCCCTTGTGCAGAACAATTGCAATTGCATATTGTGAGCAAAATCCTTTCTAACATATTTTCAAGGTTGAGACTTCAATTTGATCAATATTTGATGATCCACATTTTACAGAAAACATATTACAGTTTCAAGAGAAGTATAAGACTCTTAGCTCATTAGTCATTTCAGAGGCTGAACATCTCTGTATTATGGAAAATGAAATCCTAATAAACAACTGAGATGCTTAACATACCCTGAGAATCTTTATCTCAGAGTGGAAGACAATGCTTTCCTTGGGAATAAAGTGACAATATCTGAGGTTCAATGAGTGAAAACATTCTCCAAACATAAAACCATTTCTCCTTAGAACTGAATCATGCTAACATGTATTTACTGTTTTTATAATGCGAACTTTAAAATCCGAACTTACGGATAGCCTAGTTCCATGAAGTTGTTCCACATTTGTTTTAAAACCATAATAACTCCCATTTGTAAGCAGAGATCTATCAAGCAGCCACTAGGATGACACTGAAATGAAGTGGAAGAGATCAACAGCTAAAATCAGAGAATTCATTTATTTTTTATTTGTTCTGAGTGCAAAAAAAAAAAAAAGAGTTAAGTATGTGTGTTGAAAAACAATCTCCATCTGCAGAAATATTTATTTCAGTAACATTTATTTTAATATTAACAGACTTCAGCTGAACAACCCTTACACATATAGTTAAATATTAGATATTAGATAATATTGCCCAATTTAAAGGTACGTGTGCTAGAGATATGATAAATTATATAGACCATTTCACTTAGACCAGTAAGTACTTACTCATTTCAAAAAATGGAGCAATATTTCATCTGCAATAATCTAAGTCTAAAGAAAGATTTACTAGCAGAATTTCTGATACTGGTATGTTATCTATATCTATCTATCTGTGTGTGTGTATATTTATAAATATATATGTATATATATATATATGTACTACCATATTAAAATGTTAAGTAATTACAGAACTAATTTTCAATTAAGTGACTACAAAGTTATAAAATTTTACTCTGTGGCTACCAAGATTCAGTAGAAGAAATCTGATTTTCAGAGAAAAGAGGAAACTTCAGCATACTGGTGAGTTGCAAGTCTAACATTCCTGTTAAATTTTGAAAATATTCTTTTTCTTCTTTTAGAACTGTACAAAATTATCAATTATTTTGGGATGGAAAGGATCCCTTAAGACGATCTAGTCCAAACTTCTGCCATAAGTATGGCCATTTTCAACTAGAGAAGTCCCATCCAACCTGACTTTGAATGTTTTCAGGGATAAAACATCCATCACCTCTCTAGAAAACCTGTCCCAGTATTTCATCATCATCTTCATCATCATCATATTTTAAAAATCTCTTCCTTACACCTAGTCTAAATCTAGCCTCTCTTATTTAAAATCATTAATCCTTGCCCTGTCTCAACAGGCCCTACTAAAAGTTTGTCCCTTTCTTTCATTCAAGCACCTTTAAGTACTGAAAGGCAGTAATAATGTCTCCTTGGAGCTTTCTCTGCTCCAAGCTGAGTATCTCCAACTCAGCCTCCCTTCATAGGAGAGCTGCTCCAGCCCTCTGATTCATTTTGTGGCCCCCATCTGGGCCCATTCCAACAGATAGACACATTTTTTTCTGTGCTGACAGAAATTTATCAAGTTTATTAAAAAGCTGATGGCTCTATATTTATGTCCTCTATCCAGGAGATTCCAGTCTCAGAGGAGTCACAGTGCATGTGAGGTAAGGGACTATTACTGATGGCTTTTCTCTAAGACAGACAGAAAGATCTTGTGTGCCTTGGGCAGAGTCACTCAGCACACTGGAGAACACAGAAGGAAAAAACCATCTCCTGGATCCTATCCTTTGCTATAAATAAGAGTTTAATATTTGCTGCGCTTGGAATAATAAAATCTTTAAACTGGGCTTCAGCCACTTCCTTTTTACTCATGGAAATATCACAGGAACACAAGATAGGATTGTTTACCTCTTCCAGCCTCCATCTGTTAAAAAGCTTGTTGTACTTTCCTGGGCGGCCTGCAAATCTGGAAAATAAGATTTCTGTTTCTCAGTGGACATTCCAGAAATACCCTGTATCAGTAGTTGTTTCATAACATCCACTGAATACAGGAAATATCAACAGAATAAATCACACAGGCTTAAATCTGGTGTCCGTAGGATATGCAAGTTTCAGAATGCAAACAAAGACCATCATTTTGCAAGTGATCCTGAACTTTTATTATGTCCTGAATAAAAATCCTAGCTTCAAAGATTTTAGATGTTAGCTATTCAAACTCTAATCTACTTCTAAGAAGACAAGCAAGCCACTACGACTAATAGGAATTAACTGCAGCATAGGGATCTGCTTGCCCAAGTGAAGTGTACACTTGATTTGTAAAACAATTCCCAGCTCTTGATGACCTCAATGAAAGTTATAAAAGAGATAAAGAAACCCATGCCTGGTCCTATTAGATAGAGGAGAGAGCAATACACACAGAAATTTTGGTATTGTATGGTGAATACACCATTGAATGCAACAAACAGATTCTCACCAAAAGTCTTTACTAGGCTTTTATTGTTTCTTTGCTTCTTTGTTTTTTGTTATTTTTTTTCCAAAAAATCCTGAACTGAAATTATACTATACAACTTTATAGAAGATACCCCAAAATGTTCTGTAAGTTCTGCAGGAAAGGTAAGTGTGACCATTACAAAATTGAACTGAAGATGAAGCAAGCTTAGATCTGTGCTCTATCTCATGCTCTCAACTAACGATACACACAAAAACTGGAGCCAGAATTTATGCTTCCTGCTCTTGTATAAGTTTTGCCAGACAATATTTACTATTTACAGAAATGCATTATTGGAAATGTAACTCAAGGAGAATAAACCAGAAAATATTAATAAAGGCTATTAACACAACACTAAATACAGACCCACATCTAGGAAGTGGCTGCATTTTCAAAAGTTCTGCCTTCTTATTTAATAGGAAAGTAATGTACACTCCCATAAAAAAGTAGAATTTTTACTCTCTAGTTTCATGAGTAAATATTTCAATGGTCCAACGCTTCCACACATTTTGAAATATTTAGTGTTTTAATCATGCCCAGAAACCAAACTCGTACCTAAACCTTACAGTTCAAATTGTCCCTGTATTTTCTTCAAATCTATAAAATTACTGAACATTTTGAGTTCTGTGCAAGTTTTCTTTTAATGCAACTGGCAAACATAACGTACCTGCCAAGAAAAAAGGCAATGTAGAAGATGGAGCTGTTCAAGTTGACAAACTGGAAGAGGAACATTTTCAAGGCAAAGCTGTTTTCCCACTCAGATTCTGTTCTAGGGTGCTCTTCAGAAAGACACAATATATATTATATAAACAAAAATGAAATTGAGTTATGCATAAGTTTGCTCAAAAAAATCAATCAATATTAACAAAACAAGTGATGGTTTTAAGTCACAGTGTCCCATCATGTTGCCATTGATTTCTTCTCATTGCCCCAGGTTAGAGTGCGTTGTTTCTATGTGGAAGCAGGTGATAGGAACCCCCTGGTTCAGAATAAATCATAACACTCTGGGAAGATACCTGTTTCACTTCTATGAAAAAAATTGGAAACCAGTGTGAATTTTTTATCTTTAGATTAAAGATATCTTGATTCAAAGAAAAAAACTCACCTCAAAAAACCCCCACAAAACTCAACCAAACTCCAAAACAAACAAAACCCAAACCAACCTAACCCCCCAAAAACCTGAAAGCACTTGGAATCAGTAGAGCTGCCCAGGGAAGCAGAGGTTAAAAGAGTCACATAAAAGCTAGTTGATTTCTCATCCAAGCTTCTCACCCTCTAAATACTTCTGTAAAACCTTTACTTCATCCTCAAGAGTTCCCTTTCATAAAGTTTGAGGAGTGCCAAACAGTTTATAATTCAACAAAAGGAGAGAGGTTCTCTCTTAGCTTCTTTTGGAAAGAAATGTAGAAACGTGTAGTAGAGCTACACGTGCTCTGTGTGGGTCTGCACTGCCTTGGATATATTTCCTTAAGATTTTTTATGTCTGAATTAGAATTTAGTGGTAATGTTTACAAATTAATTTTTACAAAATCCATCTTTGATGGACATATCAAACTTGGAATACAGTACATTGGTAAAAATTTTAAAGCACATGAGCTGTAAAAACATATGAGTTTTAAGTCTAAACTGCCTGGATTTGTCAGTTAAAATTTGTTCTACTTAACTACTCTGGTCTACTGATGACTAAATTTGGATAGAAATATACAGGATACTACTAGCTTTGCACAGGGACAGTTGTTCCCAGAAGGGTGTCCTTTTCTGATGTAAAACACCTTAGCAAGAATAATGAGCTACCTATCTGAAACACCTAATGCTGCTTGATATTTAATTCAAGAAATCTTTTTTGAAAAAAATTCTTTCACGTATTTTGGGAAAAAACTGCTTAAACACAAACAATTATTTTCTTTCCCATTCTATGACCAGTAAAAATATAAAACGCTTTAAAAGGAATAGAAATAATTTTGATATGAACGAATACTTTAAAATATTTTAAGAATTCAAGTAAGTTGGCCATAAATTCTGAGTATTTCTAGCCTGTTCTACTGCCTGTTAGGTGAAGCACTATAAAGCTTTGAGCACCTCGTTTAATACTTCAACCAAAAGAGGGAGCTGTGGAATTTAAGCAGCCAGCTGGCATTTAACCAAGACAAAATCACTTGCATATGTTGACATGGGCTAAAAGCGAGCATGTAAAATGAAACACTAAACAGTAACGCATTGACACAGCCAGAGATCCTAAATTCTATCTTTGCTTTCTTGTTTTCTATAAGCTAGAAAGCTTTATGTCTGTGATTGAATCATGACTAGAGGCTTCAGTATAAAATTTTCATATTACAGATTTGGAGCTACTATAAAATTCATGACTCAACATTTTTATCTGGGACAACTTTATTTTATCTTAACCCATTTTTTCCATCTGAAAGATCAAATTAAAAATTAATAAAAAACAAACCAAGCATTTGGGGATAATAGAAAAACCCTTTAGCATGCTAAGAAAGAATAAGTTTTGACTTTCACTCCTAAATAAGATTACTATTTTTCAATGTATACCACGAAATATTAAAAGTTGAAGTATAAGAATAAATTCCTTAGTTTTATTTTATTTCCTCACTGAAATACTAATGTATTTTCTTTCTGTGATATTTCTCACTTGCTTAGGAAAATGCCAGAAATGTACTTCACAGATCAAGTTTTCAAAACACTTCTTTAAAGGTAAATAAAGAAGTATACTATAAAGGCATATGCCACAGCCAGCAAGAACCATACCATTAGTAAAGACCTACATACCTAAATCTGTCAGGAGATAGGCAACTTTTTCATACACCTAAAAAAGAAATGAAATGGTGTAAGTACAGGACATCCTGGCTGTAGTGATGACAAATCCACATTGAAAACAAGCATCAAAGCATGGTATTCTCTTGCTCTATAGCATTAAGGTATCACAGTACAGTTTTCCTTTGCTGAGGATATCAGCCTTGTACTGAAAACTTTTCTCTCTATATATTGACCATCTCAAGTCTTTATTTTAAATGTCATTTAGCGCCAGGTAGTTGCCAACTCTGAAATATATTTCCTTCAGTATACTACAAATAGCAAGTTATTTTGGATAGCTTTGCTTGTTCACTTGAATGTACATTGTATGATGTGGAGTGATCATGCATAATAACAAAAATAGCTAGAGAACTCTGATTGGAAGGATTATTTCTTATTGCAGCAAGTGCAACTCCTTAAGAGAACTAAAAGCCAATGTTTGCTGGGTTATTACTCCTTTTTATCTGTTCATGCTTGCATGGGAACAGAAAATGATAAATAATAATGCAGCTGAAATAATAGAGTTTCTGTCTGTGTAATGCTATAAGAACAAATGATTAAACCTGTGCTGTTACATGACAGAAAAAACCTAACACCAAAATCATATATCACAGTGATTCCAGGACTATACCACACTGATATCACAGCTGCATTTTAATAAGAAGTCATGAAGCAAAAAAAACCTAGAAACCAAATTCTCAGTCAAGAAAATAATGTAGTTCAAATTACAACTAAAACTCCAATTAGAGATCTACTGCAAAAGGTAATATTAAAAAAATACAAATGTAAAAAGCAGCAATCTCTACTCTTGTAACCTGGTGACAGAAGTGAGGATGTGCAGTGACAAATTAAGGAGGATTTAGAGAAAAACATTAACAAACATTGTATCAGAGGAGAAAAATCCACTGCAACACTAGCTTCAGACACTGCTACCTGGAAAAGCATTACCATGTATATATCTAATACATGGGTAACTCAGTAAGCTTTTAAAAATTACTCTCTTAAATTAATTGCTTCTTTAAAAGAACAGAAGACTTACGACATTGAGTGACATGATGATCATAAAATTGATACAGACTCCAGTGCCAGATGTTGCAAACTGCCAATACTTCTTGATGAAATACCACTTGAAAGAAGCAAACTGTTCCATGGCTACCAGTCGATACACCACAACTGCAAATACTGCAGTAAGGACCAGTGAAATCTACAGGTATGTATTTATGAGCAGAGGTATTAGAACAAAAGGAATCACATCTGAAATTATATCCGCTGAAATAATAAAACAAGTGTTTTAAAGATTGATATTTGTTTTGGAGAGCAGAGTTTGAGAGAACAAAAAACCAAGATGAGTTACAACATTTTTTTACTGTTCTTTTCCAATATAACTATATTCCATCTTGGGAAACAAAGAGGTCCCTGAACAAGCAGTAAGACAGACAAGCAGTTTTGCTTATGTTACGTAAATCCACTAATCTTAATGAATGCACTCATGCTGAGTTGCTATTTACATCAGAGTAAGATGAATTACAACACAACAGTTCTAATATTATTAAACATCACCATGAAGAATATTCCTGAGACAGACACCATCAGTCGACTGAGCTTATCAGGGAAAGGCTGAAAAGGTTCAGGTTTTCCTGTGATGGGATTTACTCTTTCCACTTGGGAATATTTAGCTTCAAACTGGGGGCGCAGCTCTTCCTGGAACGACAGGGTGGATTCCATTTGTTGTATTACTTATTTCTCTCAAGGATCAGACATACATGTAGAACATTATACTGATACAGATCATTTTTCATAATGCTGCAACTCAAATACCTAAATAATTTGCTCTTTTGAAAATCCTTAGAAGCAGTGCCAGAGAGCAGCAAAGAACAGAAACCACAGGAGCCTTCCCCACTATGTGAGAGTGTTAAAAAGAATCATGGGTCATACCGCTGACTTAGACACTGGATTGTCTGTGAAAATTGGTAACAAAACTATAAATTAGGGCCAGTTGTAATGGTGTTGCATGTGTTGTGACAGCATTTATTAAAAATAGCCACCAGCTTCTATCTACCCATCCACAGAAAGCTGTAAAACAAGTGAAGTCTATTGACTTAAAATGCAATTAAGTCAACAATATAGGTAAACTACAGTTATGCGGACTAGTAATTTATGGAATAAAAAAAATTATTGCTGATGCTGATTGCAGATTGTTCAAAGATAAGCTATGCCTCTCCAAGGATACAAAAGCTAGTTTCTCTCTTGTTGCTTGTTTTGGTCCTATTTTTATGCAGGATCAAGAATTTCCAGAACAAGACACCCTGGAACTGAAAGGCATCTGTGCTGACATCAGAAACAGCTACTGTCCTCTGTACAGGAAGTATTTGCACTCAGTTTTTCCCAGGACACTTTTAATAAATGTACAATTATATTGGAATTATAATGTTAGTTGCAAAAAGCAAGGTATCCTTGTACAATCTCAAGCATACCTTTGTATTCTGCAACTAGTGCTATAAATACAAATATGATCTGAATGACAAACTCAGATGACTGACATACACAATTGATACCGAGACTTTAACCATGCTGATAGCATGGTTTACATGTAAACTTCTGTTTCTTCTTACCTCTTCATCTTCCCAGTCTATGAGGTCCCAATCATAGGTCAATACAGCCCTCCGTCTTTTCCAAAACTCCAGAAAGACTGTTGCTGTGGAAAACAATTGTACTTTAACTACAGGGGGGAAAAGGGTCATGCAGATCTTAAGAAAATCAGAAATATAACATATCATTAGCCACTTGCTGACAGTTTTCCTCATAGAATCTGAAAACTCCAAGTAGCTTCAGGATAATCCCTGTTAAATTTAAAACAGTAGTTAACAATGTTTATCTAGGAAACATATTTTTGCTGTCTGCAGTAGCTGTAAAGAAATAGGTACCTGTCAACATGAGACACTGCCATCCCTTTAAATTCATCATTTTGCTTTTCATTTTATTCAACACATAGAATCTTCTCTTGAAGAAACAAGGAAGCACATACACAATGATATCTATTAATAAAGAGCCAAGAGCTATCTCCTTTTATTCAGTTCAAATAAGAACCTCACTTCATTCCCAGCTATACCAGTTTTACACTGTAGCAGTCTTGCTACTAGAATAATTCTTTAGACAATTATTTCTAATTATTCTTAGGTATGAGACCATAATCAGATTTTCCATAAACTTAGGGGTTTGGATAAGATAATTACACCTAATAAATTACGCCAAATTTCCAAAACACTGTTGTCTGCCACTGAGGATAGGTAACTTTGCTTACAGCGTGACTCCTGACAAAACATAGAATTGTCCAATTGTTCCTTGAAAAACAATTAATTCAAATAGGAAGTAAGAAAATTTGCTTCCTTCTAGAAATCCAACTGCTCAGAAGAAGGATTTCTAACTCAAAATAAACAGGAGGGTCATATATTCCTACCTTTATCTATATTTCTGTACTACGTTTAATATTTTTGGGTTTCTATACATACTTGATATCTAATTAGTTATCATAATTAGTTATATGTATTATACCTATATCTACATAATTATACATGACATTTATATAATATATGCTCTTCACATTGCTCTTAACAGTGTTACATACAAAGAAGCTAAGCTGGGGATAATACACAACTCAATAAAAAACCCCTAACGAACAAATTAATAAAACCTGTCCTTAATTCTCTCTGCTCCCTGCCCAAAACAAAAACAACAACAAAAAACCTAAAAAAGAAAAAAAAAAGAAAAACAACAAAACACAAACCATCTAAAAAATCACTCATGGGGAAAGCATAAGAAAGTAGGAGAGGCTTGATGACAAAAAAAATAGTTACTTTTTTTCAGATATAAATCTCATTCAGGCGGTGAAGTACCCACATACATGGACATACAAATAATTAATGATGCTGAAGAATAACTAATTATAGAGTTTACTGTGCTGTCATATGAGAGCTCATGTGTGGGAGTTAAAAACTGGATCATCCCAATCTGTTTCATATATAGAAAATATACCAAAACCTCACTGAACAACATATGCTGAACAGCAGACCTGCTACAATCATGTGACTTCAAGGTGAGGTTTTCTCATTCTTCTCAATTTGAAAAATTAATGCCTAATACACGGTTTCCAGTTTTGTACTGCAAAAGAAGTTTGCACACAAATTCAGCCTCATTCATAACCTCTGGACTGATTTAGCTTTCAATTTGCTCCTGGCAGCATTCATATGACACTCACTGCTCAAGGCCACAAAATATTATCCATCAACTTTCCAGGTCAATTGTAAAAATTCTAATTCTTGACAAGGCAGCAGAAATCTTTAGCATGCTCTTAGAATTGCTGTCTGCCCAGCAAACACTGCCTTGAGAACACCATCCATGTATGTTTCATGATCTCACTCCATAGCAACGTGGATTTGAATTATCAACATGGTTTTTAATTATTCCCTTCTGAGTAAGAGGTCTGTTTATAGAACCATGGAATTTTCTTATGAAATGAAGCTTTTGTTCCAGAATCATGAACTGGGTAAGACTGGAAGGGAGTGGATCATCTGGTCTAACCTCCCTGCTCAAGGAGGGTCATCCAAGAGCATATGGCACACAACTGCATCCAGGCAGTTCTTGACTATCTCCAGTGAGGGAGACTCCACAGCCTCTCTGAGCAGCCTCTTCCAGAGCAAGCAGGAGAGAAGTCCTTCTTCACATTCAGGTGAAAATTACTGTGCATGAATTTCTGCTCATTGCATCTTGTCCTATTTTTTGGCACTAAGCAGACTCTTAACACCCTCCCTTTAAGATACCCAGGTATATTGGTGAGATCCTCTCTGTCATATCTCCTCAAGGATGAACAGGCCCAGCTCCCTCAGCCTTTCAACACCTCCAGGAGCTCTTTGTCTTTTTTGACATGAGGAGCCCAGAGCAGGACACAGTGCTCCAGATGTGCCTCACCAGGCACTCACTCCAGATGTGCCTCACCAGGGCTGACCAGAGAGGCAGGATCACCCCCCTCGACCTGCTGTTCTCCCTAATGCACCCCAGGATCCCACTGGCCTCACTGCCCACAGGGCACGCTGCTGGCCCACGGACAATTTGTCATCCACCAGGACCCCTGCTCCTTTTCCACAGAGCTGCTGCCCAGCAGGTCAGCCTGTACTGACCTAGTGCATGGGTTGCTCCTCCCCAGGTGCAGGACCCTGCATTTCCCTCTGCTGAATTTGACACAGTTCTTCTCTGTGCATCTCTCCAGCCTGTTGAGGTCCCTCTGAAGGGATGCACAGCACATGAGCTACCCTACAACATCTCCATCAGCACACTGAGATCAATATTGCAATGATATTGATCAAGATGAGATCAATTTTGTTGATCATCAATATTAATTTAGGTGATTCTTATGTCATTAACACTTAGGGACATAACGTTTCCAGCATCAACAAGTGATAAATCAGTGAGGTTTCTATTGTATAACACTGACTTATTTTACCAACTTATTTGGATCTTCAATGAGTAACTTGGTGTGGTGGTTTGACAGGAAATGTGTTTTTTGGGATGCTGTGTTTTTGGCCAATGGATATTCAGACTTTAATATTGGCATCTAACCTGGCCATTGGGACATGGACACGCCTCTGAGAACACGGGGTTAAAAGCAGAGCTCTCCCCTGGGAGGGTCCTCTTGGGTTTCCAGCAGGAAAGAGTTCGGGTCTCTCCCCCGGCCCAGCTGCTGGCTGGGCAGGGGGAGGGGAAAGCCATGTGGCCGGGAGAGGTAGGCCTGAGCCCGGGGGTGGAAGGGTGGAAGAGAGAAAGAGAGAGAGAGACACCAGGAGGCATCGGGCAGCCCCCCCTGAGAGACACAGAGAGAGAGAGAGAGAGAGAGAGAAAGAGCCGGTGCCTGAGACTGTAACCTTGAAACTGGATAAACATGGGCCTGTGCCGGCAGCACGGCTGGGACGGAGAAGAGGGGGGGGGTTCAGCCAGCCGCTTGTAGGAGCTTTTAACCCCTTTTTGGAAAATGAGAACTTCACAGAACATTGACCTTTCCTAGAAGATAGAGTGGAAGATGAGGAAGAAAATGGGCCAGTGTGAGAGAGGTCTGGGCAAGCGAGAGATAGTAGAAGAATAGAGAAGAATCCTAGTGGGAAGAGATGATGGAGTGGCTTTTGCTGGACTCTTTTTGTATAGCCATGGACAGAACCAAGAGGGTTCAGTGTTGATGCCCCTCGGCCCCAGGGGGTGAAAAATATGGGGGGGACAGGTGTCCCAAAGGAGAGATTGTGGGGACAGGTGTCCCAAAGGAGAGATTGTGGGGACAGGTGTCCCAAAAGAGAGATGACGGCCTCAGAACCAAGAGGGTTCAGTGTTGATGCCCCTCGGCCCCAGGGGGTGAAAAATATGGGGGGGACAGGTGTCCCAAAGGAGGGATTGTGGGGACAAGTGTCCCAGAAGAGAGATGGACAGACCCAAGTTCCTTGTGACACAGAGACTGCATTCTAGGGGGAGGCAATGGCCTCAGAACCAAGAGGGTTCAGTGTTGATGCCCCTCGGCCCCAGGGGGTGAAAAATATGGGGGGGACAGGTGTCCCAAAGGAGAGATTGTGGGGACAGGTGTCCCAAAGGAGAGACTGTGCCTTTTTTTGGATCGGGACAGAGCATCCTTAAAAGACAACCCTAGAAGCAGCTCTGGTCCATGTTCAGTGGTGAGAGCACTGGACATGGAAAGGAAGAAGTCACCAGGGCAGATGTTCTCTGGGCGGTGCCACAAGTGACACGGAAACACACGAGGCTTCGACTGTGTTTCCAGGGGAAGCCCATGGCACAAGAAGGACTCCTCTCCTCTTGATGAACTGAGGATTGATTGTTTGAAGGGTGGTGCTGGACCGAGAGTTGGTGATTTGAGAAACAAATGTATTGTGTTGGAAATTTGGTGGGGGGAGGAGGAAATGCATTTGTGAAGTTTTCATTTTCCCTATGTGTGTGTTTTATTTTATCTGTAGTTGTAGAGTAGTTAATAAAGTTCTGGTTCTTTTTTCCCTAAGTAGGAGCCTGCTTTGCTTATTCCTGGTCACATCTCACAGCAGAAACCAGGGAGAAGGTATTTTCATGGGGGCACTGGCATTGTGCCAGTGTCAAACCATGACACTTGGTTTGGTTAAATAAAACTATTTTAAAAAGTGAATTTCTTGCAGGTTCTCTATAAAATAAACTTTGAACTCAACACCATGCAACCCTCCTGTGGAATGACTCTCATTTTTCTGCTTTTAAGACAGCAATGGAACAGAATTAAGACTGAGGCTGGAGAAGTAAAAGAAACAAGCAAAGGAAATAGTTCAATTACAAAAAAACTATCAGTCTCCAGCACAGCTAAATTCGCAGAGATTAGTTCTGCATATGACTACCACAGTAAGTCCTTTCACCACAAGTCATGCTCCAGCAGCTGCCAATATCAAAGAGAATGTATTGAAAAGAACAGAAATTCTCAGTGGAGCAAAAAGCAGATCCCTGTGGCCCTCTGATGGCACCACCTTGTCTTCAAATGTGTCAAAAAAATTGGAATAACTCAGCCACAAATATCCACAGAATGTCTTGAGCAAAACTAGAACAACAGGTGACTTTTCTGAAGCGACCAAAAGTGTTGCAGCTACATTCCTTCCACAGTGGCACCGAGTCGTTCCACAGTCATTCATA